TTGTCTCTCTCTCTCTCTGTCTATGTTGTCTCTCTCTGTGTGTCTATGTTGTGTGTGTCTCTCTCTGTGTGTCTGTGTGTCTATGTTGTGTGTTTCTCTCTGTATGTCTATGTTGTGTGTCTCTCTCTGTGTGTCTGTCTGTGTGTCGGTCTCTCTCTGTGTGTCTGTGTTGTCTCTCTCTGTGTCTATGTTGTGTGTCTCTCTCTGTGTGTCTGTGTTTCTCTCTGTGTGTCTGTGTCTCTCTCTGTGTGTCTGTGTTGTCTCTCTCTGTGTCTATGTTGTGAGTCTCTCTCTGTGTCTATGTTGTGAGTCTCTCTGTGTCCATGTTGTGTGTCTCTCTCAGTGTCTCTGTGTCTCTGTGTTGTCTCTCTCTGTGTCTATGTTGTGTGTCTCTCTCTGTGTGTTTGTGTTGTCTCTCTCTGTGTGTCTGCGTTGTCTCTCTCTGTGTCTGTGTTGTCTCTCTCTGTGTGGCTGTGTGTCTCTCTCTGCGTGTCTATGTTGTGTTTCTCTCTCTGTGTCTATGTTGTGTGTTTCTGTGTGTCTATGTTGTGTCTCTGTCTGTGTCTATGTTGTGTCTCTCTCTGTGTCTATGTTGTGTGTCTCTGTGTGTCTGTTGTGTGTCTCTCTCTGTGTGTCTGTGTTGTCTCTCTCTGTGTCTATGTTGTGTGTCTCTCTCTGTGGTATGTCTGTGTTGTCTCTCTCTGTGTGTCTGTGTCTCTCTCTGTGTGTCTCTCTGTGGTGTCTCTGTGTTGTCTCTCTCTGTGTGGCTGTGTCTCTCTCTGTGGTGTCTCTGTGTTGTCTCTGTCTCTCTGTGTTGTCTCTCTCTGTGTGTCTGTGTCTCTCTCTGTGGTGTCTGTGTTGTCTCTCTCTGTCTATGTTGTGTGTCTCTCTCTGTGTCTGTTGCCTCTCTCTGTGTGTCTGTGTTGTCTCTCTCTGTGTCTATGTTGTGTCTCTCTCTCTGTGGTGTGTCTGTGTTGTCTCTCTCTATGTGTCTGTGTTGTCTCTCTCTGTGTGTCTGTTGTGTGTCTCTCTCTCTGTGTCTATGTTGTGTGTCTCTCTGTGTCTCTGTTGTCTCTCTCTGTGTCTATGTTGTGTGTCTCTGTGGTGTGTCTGTGTTGTCTCTCTCTATGTGTCTATGTTGTGTGTCTCTCTCTCTCTCTGTCTATGTTGTGTGTCTCTCTGTGTCTCTGTTGTCTCTCTCTGCGTGTCTATGTTGTGTGTCTCTCTCTGTGGTGTCTCTGTGTTGTGTCTCTCTGTGGTATGTCTGTGTTGTCTCTCTCTGTGTGTCTATGTTGCGTGTCTCTCTCTCTGTGTCTCTGTGTTGTCTCTGTGTGTATGTTGTGTCTCTCTCTGTGGTGTGTCTGTGTTGTCTCTCTCTGTGTGTCTCTCTGTGTGTCTGTGTTGTCTCTCTCTGTGTGTCGATGTTGTGTGTCTCTGTCTGTGTCTATGTTGTGTGTCTCTCTCTGTGTCTCTGTGTTGTCTCTCTCTGTGTGTCTATGTTGTGTATCTCTCTCTGTGTGTCTGTGTCTCTCTCTGTGTGTCTATGTTGTGTGTCTCTCTCTGTGTGTCTGTGTCTCTCTCTGTGGTGTCTCTGTGTTGTCTCTCTCTGTGTGTCTGTGTCTCTCTGTGGTGTCTCTGTGTTGTTTCTGTCTCTCTGTGTTGTCTCTCTCTGTGTGTCTGTCTCTCTCTGTGGTGTCTGTGTTGTCTCTCTCTGTGTCTCTGTGTTGTCTCTCTCTGTGTGTCTGTGTTGTCTCTCTCTGTGGTGTCCGTGTTGTCTCTCCGTGTGTCTCTATGTTGTGTGTCTCTCTGTGTCTGTGTTGTCTCTCTGTGTGTGTCTATGTTGTGTGTCTCTCTCTGTGTGTCTGTGTTGTCTCTCTGTGTGTCTATGTTGTGTGTCTCTGTTGTGTGTCTCTCTCTGTGTATGTGTCTCTCTGTGTGTCTGTGTTGTCTCTCTGTGTGTCTATGTTGTGTGTCTCTCTCTCTGTGTTGTCTCTCTCTGTGTCTGTGTTGTCTCTTTCTGCGTGTCTATGTTGTGTGTCTTTCTGTGTCTCTGTTGTCTCTCTCTGTGTCTATGTTGTGTGTCTCTCTCTGTGTCTATGTTGTGTGTCTCTCTCTGTGTCAATGTTGTGTGTCTCTCTCTGTGTCTATGTTGTGTGTCTCTCTCTGTGTCTATGTTGTGTGTCTCTCTCTGTGTCTATGTTGTGTGTCTCTATCTGTGTGTCTATGTTGTGTATCTCTCTCTGTGTCTATGTTGTGTGTCTCTCTGTGTGTGTATGTTGTGTGTCTCTCTCTGTGTGTCTATGGTGTATGTCTCTGTGGTGTCTCTGTGTTGTCTCTCTCTCCGTATCTAATGTTGTGTCTCTCTCTCTCTCTCTCTCTGTGTCTATGTTGTGTGTCTCTCTCTGTTTGTCTATGTTGTGTGTCTCTCTCTCTGTGTCTATGTTGTGTGTCTCTCTGTGTGTCTATGTTGTGTGTCTCTCTCTGTGTCTATGTTGTGTGTCTCTCTCTGTGTGTCTATGTTGTGTGTCTCTCTGTGTGTGTCTATGTTGTGTGTCTCTCTGTGTGTGTCTATGTTGTGTGTCTCTCTGTGTGTGTCTATGTTGTGTGTCTCTCTCTGTGTGTCTATGTTGTGTGTCTCTCTCTGTGTGTCTATGTTGTGTGTCTCTCTCTGTGTGTCTTTGTTGTGTGTCTCTCTCTGTGTGTCTTTGTTGTGTGTCTCTCTGTGTGTCTATGTTGTGTGTCTCTCTCTGTGTGTCTATGGTGTGTATCTCTCTGTGTGTCTGTCTTGTGTGTCTCTGTTGTCTCTGTGTGTCTATGTTGTGTGTCTCTCTCTGTGTGTCTATGTTGTGTGTCTCTCTGTGTCTATGTTGTGTGTCTCTCTGTGTGTCTATGTTGTGTGTCTCTCTGTGTGTCTATGTCTTGTGTCTCTCTCTGTGTGTCTATGTTGTGTGTCTCTCTCTGTGTGTCTTTGTTGTGTGTCTATGTTGTCTCTGTGTGTCTTTGTTGTGTGTCTATGTTGTCTCTGTGTGTCTATGTTGTCTCTGTGTGTCTATGTTGTGTGTCTCTCTCTGTGTGTCTGTGTTGTGTGTCTCTGTTGTCTCTGTGTGTCTATGTTGTGTGTCTCTCTCTCTGTGTCTATGTTGTGTGTCTCTCTGTGTCTACGTTGTGTGTCTCTCTCTGTGTGTCTATGTTGTGTGTCTCTCTGTGTGTCTATGTTGTGTGTCTCTCTCTGTGTGTCTCTCTGTGTGTCTCTCTGTGTGTCTATGTTGTGTGTCTCTCTGTGTGTCTATGTTGTGTGTCTCTCTGTGTGTGTCTATGTTGTGTCTCTCTGTGTGTCTATGTTGTGTGTCTCTCTCTGTGTGTCTATGTTGTGTGTCTTTCTCTGTGTGTCTATGTTGTGTGTCTTTCTCTCTGTGTCTATGTTATGTGTGTCTCTCTCTGTGTGTTACTCTGTGTGTCTGTGTTGTGTCTCTGTGTGTCTATGTTGTGTTTCTCTCTCTGTCTGTGTTGTCTCTCTGTGTCTCTGTTGTCTCTCTATGTTGTATGTCTCTCTCTGTGTGTCTCTTTCTGTGTGTCTATGTTGTGTGTCTCTCTCTGTGTGTCTTTGTTGTGTGTCTATGTTGTCTCTGTGTGTCTATGTTGTGTGTCTCTCTCTGTGTGTCTATGTTGTGTGTCTCTCTCTGTGTGTCTATGTTGTGTGTCTCTCTCTGTGCGTCTATGTTGTGTGTCTCTCACTGTGTGTCTGTGTCTTTCTCTGTGTCTATGTTGTGCGTCTCTCTCTGTGCGTCTATGTTGTGTGTCTGTGTGTCTGTGTCTCTCTTTGTGTCTATGTTGTGTGTCTCTGTGTGTCTCTGTGTTGTCTCTCTCTGCTTGTGTGTCTGTCTGTGTGTCTATGTTGTGTGTCTCTCTCTGTGTGTCTCTGTGTTGTGTCTCTCTGTGTGTCTGTCTGTGTGTCTATGTTGTGTGTCTCTCTCTGTGTGTCTCTGTGTTGTGTCTGTCTGTGTGTCTCTGTGTTGTCTCTCTCTGTGTCTCTGTGTTGTCTCTCTCTGTGTCTCTGTGTTGTCTCTCTCTGTGTGTCTATGCTGTGTGTCTCTCTCTGTGTGTCTCTGTGTTGTGTCTCTGTGTTGTCTCTCTCTGCTTGTGTGTCTCCGTGTGTCTGTCTTTTGTCTCTCTCTCAAATTTAGTTCTACCTGATGACGGTCGCTTGTGTTGCAGTCGAAACGTCGTACTGTATTATTTAATTTATTTATTCTCTACGTGACTTTACCGAAAGAACCAAAGAGTAACTTAACACCTGTTTTGTTTCCAGAAAAAACCTATTCTCATATTTTGGTACTGGCAAAGGAGGTCCCATGATGTAGATATGCATTAAATGTGCTTAAGAGAATTTCTACGCATGAAATGCACGGACTTTTAAGATTAATGCATTCCACATGCTATGGCCATCTGGACTACGATTTGCCATTGGTTTGTGAAGAAAAAGGTTCAGCTGTGCAATGTCCCTCCTCGTGCCACTGCTGCATGGACCAGCAGTGGACGGAGCTCGATAGAAAATGCCAATACTTGACCCCACGAAACGCAACCTTAAAGGTCAACCAACTGGTGTACGGATTCATACTGCTGCTTTGGACAGAGGCGTAGTTAATCTAAGAAACTCGGCCATCGTGTAAACTGCCGTGCCGGGCGATTGAAACATTGTCAGGCTGTGGCGTGCGAACGCAGTGTGCTAACCGTGACACCGCATCCGTGTCCCTCAAACGTGCAGCATGTTCGCAAATCCTGAGATATTCTTCCCATTGAAAAAATAACGTCGAAGATTTAGAGCTTTAAACCTTGACATGCGACACCAGCCTGCGTCCACGTCTGTCACAACTCCGCCCGGGATCGAAGCGGTTTGAATCGCCGTCGCACCACGGCAGCGGCGTCCTATCCATCACGTCGGCGGCTGAAACATGCAAAGCGTTAAAATACGCGCCGCCTGAACGCCGCCATCTCCGCAGGTGCGGCTGGTGCTCAAAGAGTGCTGCGAGTTCCTCGAGCGCCAGCTCGACCCGGCCAACTGCATCGGCATCGCGCGCTTCGCCGACGCTCACGGCTGCCCCGAGCTGCGCCTGGCGGCGCGGCGCTTCCTGCAGCTGCGCTTCGAAGAGGTCCGCTGCACCGAGGAGTTCCTCGAGCTGAGCCCCGCCGAGCTGCACGAGGTCCTGTCGAGCGACGGCCTCGCCGTCACCTCCGAGGAGTCGGCGTTCGGCGCGCTCGAGAGCTGGGTGAAGGCCGCCCCCCGCGAGCGCCGGGCCCACCTGCCGGCTCTGATGCGCTGCGTGCGGCTGCCCCTGCTCAGCGTCAAGTCGCTGACGCGGCTGTACGAGGCCAACCAGCTGCTGCGGGACGACCGCGCCTGCCGGAGGCTCCTCGACGAGGCGCTGCGCTACCACTTCGCGCCCGAGGAGCGGCTGGCGCTGCGCGCCTCCGAGCCGGCGGCGCGGCCCCGGTGCGCGCCGCGGGTTCTGTGCGCGGCCGGCGGCAAGAACGGGCTGTTCGCCACGCTGGACTGCGTGGAGGTGTACCGGCCCGGCAGCGACACGTGGGCGCCGCTGCCGCCGCTCGGCAGGCCGCGCTACGAGTGCGCCTGCGCCGTGCTGGAGCGGCGCCTGTACGTGGTGGGCGGCGTGGCGTGCCGCGTGCGCGACCGCGTGCCCTACGGCCGCCACGAGAGCTCCGTGGAGCGGTGGGACCCGGAGGTCGCCAGCTGGGACCTCGCCCCCGCCATGACGGAGTGCCGCAGCACGCTGGGGCTCGCCGTGCTGGACGGCGAGCTGTACGCGCTGGGCGGCTACGACGGGCAGAGCTACCTGCGCTCCGTGGAGCGCTTCTCCCCGCGCCTCGGCTGCTGGGGCCCCGTGGAGCCCATGCTGAAGAAGCGCAGCTGCTTCGCCGCCGCCGCCCTCGCCGGGATGATTTACGCCATCGGCGGCTACGGCCCCGCGCACCTCGACAGCGTGGAGAGGTTCGACCCGGGCAAGGGCGTCTGGGAGATGGTGGCGCCCATGGCGGACAAGCGCATCAACTTCGGCGCGGGCGTGGCGATGGGCTTTCTGTTCGTGGTGGGCGGACACAATGGCGTGAACCACCTGGCCAGCGTCGAGCGCTACGACCCGCAGCTCGACCAGTGGACCACGTGCCGGCCGATGAGCGCCCCCCGCACCGGCGTGGGGGTGTCGGTGATCGACGGCTTCCTGTACGCGGTGGGCGGCCACTCGGGCTCGGCCTACCTGGGCCTCACGCAGACGTACGACCCCGGTTCGGACGAGTGGAAGGATTGCGCCGGCATGGGCTCGTGCAGATGCAACTTTGGCCTGGCGGCCCTCTGAGACGTCTTTTGAAACTCGAATCTTCCCTGACGCGGCAGACGTTACCCGCTCGCCTCGTCGCCCCCACCCCACCCTCCCCACCCGAACACTGTCATGCACTCGCGCCGCGTCTCTGTGGTGGTGTATGGTCTGATTGCACGCGACCGGTGCGGCAGACCGTGGCGTGACCTTAGCAATTGCCGGGCTCAGCCAAGCTACCCAGCAGCAGCAACAGCAACGGCCCTTTCACAGCAACGTTTCGCACGGCCCCTGGATTCCCGTGAAGTGAGGACGGCCGTCGTGTTGCAAACGTCACCACCGTCCCCTGTGTACCCCCGGTCCATGTTGAGAAGAAGAATGGAGGGATGATGAGGCATTTCTTCTTATTGGGAGGTGAAGCTGGATCAAGAAGTTGGTGGTTGACACAGCGCCTATCTGGAACGCTGTGTGAGAAGGCGGGCGGGCGGGCGGGCAGGCGGGCGGGGGTGTGGTGGCTTTGCTTAGTTTGCTAATGCCCACTAGTGTAACAGGTGTGTTTATCGCGTCGTGTGAGTTGCACGTGGAAATTCTCCACGAGCTGTTTTTCGTGTTGGCCGTGGTGTGGGGCCGCCTTGAGCCGGATCGTCCATGGCCTAACAACGTCGGAGCAGCCCCGCCCCCGCGAGTGTTCACTCTGGAAGTAAATTAATAATGGGGGGGGGTTCTGCGGAACGTTCCGGAAGGTTCCGAGTCCAGCCCACCAGCAGGACAAGTAGTCCAGTTAACGCCTCCTTAAAACTGCAGTCAAATTAAAATCTGGATTTTACGTGCCGATAATCGCCCTCAATAAAGTCGACGTTGGCGCACATCACGGCAGAGCGGGAGCGGTTACAGGGGGCATAGAGTAGAGGATTGTGACCAGCCGTTAAAATGGGAACCGTTGTTATTGTCGCACGCTCGTCTTGCCGAGCGGGAGAGGGAGGTCACCGGTTAAGGGTGGGGCGCCCGTCAAGAGCGCGCCGCTTTGCCTCTGCCTCCGACCGCGGAGGGCTGCGGTCGCTCGGGCCCCGGGTTGCGGAGGTTGTTTCCGCGCCGGGGGCGCTCGCGGAGGAGCGAGGCGTCGCGCCTGCGAGGACTTTGGGAAGCGCGTGGCGTGTCGTGTCGCGTCGCGCGAGCAAGCGTGCATGAAGGCCGGCGCATGAATAATTGGACCGCGGCGGTGCCAAAGGGGGAAGGCCGGAACACGATACAACTTGCCACCTTGCAGAGTTTCCCCCCCCCCCCCCCCCCCCCCCCCGAGCACTTGTGTGTACATACGGTGTCTTTGCGTTTGATGGCGCTGCACGGCCGTCCGGTTTTCCCTGCGCCGCTGCGGGTGGGGGCCCCGCGTCTTGTTCGGAGATGGAGGCGGACGAAGCGACTCATTGACGGCGCTCGTCTTAACGGCCACGCTTCTGCTGTTGTCGCTTTTCATTCACGGGGGCGCCCCCGCGTCTAATACACGCGCGTGCATCTTAGTCTTTGTGCGCGCGCTCGCGAGTTGCTTTCTCCACGCTGTGAATTTGCTTCGTTTGGATCACATTATTAACAGCCGTGTCTGCCCCAGCTGCTGTAACCAGCTTACGGTGGTTAACTGCCAAGTCTACCTTCTTTTTATATTATGCATTTTACAAGTTTTTTCGTATGGAATGTTATTTAATCGTCCCGTGTCCGCCGGTATATCATTTCTTAATGGGCGCATTATAAATGTGCGGTGGGATTTCCGCCGTGTTCAGCCCCGCGCTAATTATCTCACCACTGCACATTGTTTACGAACGTCACTGCGTGTCAAGGTATGATTTCGTTTAAACGGGTGAGAAACTCAAGACACCAGGATACGTCTCGTTTACAAGAGTGACCTTGGGCATTAAATCTGCCAGCTTTGGGGAAGGGGGGGGGGGGCGGTGATGGCGGTGCATTGTCCCAGTGGGGTCATTTTCGGCGTCATCTTATTCGAATTTGGTAAATGTGGACGGACCCTTGCCAATGACGCCGGGGGATTTTCGACGCCCACCGTGATTGAAGCAGACGGCGCGTCGTAGTCGTATTGTTGCTGTGGGTTTTCGCTCACCGCAGTAATAATCGGGGCGGCCGCTGGATTCGAACCGCGAACTTCTGAATTCGAGCCTGCCGCGAAACCACGTGGCCGCGGTGATGTCACCCGAGTTGAAAGCAACAATGCAGTCTTGCTTCATGATTTTTCCTTTCCGCGTGAAATGTTTTTTTTTTAAAGCGGCGATTGAACCCCAACTACCTACGTCTGCGTACGTGGTGTAAAATTGTACAAAAATGTTTTGCCTTATGTTCATCAGTGATCCCGTTACCCCCACCCCACCCACCCCCTTCGTGATCCTGCATAAAGTACTCCCAAGACTTACACACCAGTCTCAGTCTTGCTGCCTTGGTGGTCCTGTCAGAACGCATGCCTTTGGATTGCACCACTCTTCGATTTCACATTAACATGCTAATCTCTCACATTAACATCATGCTAATCTCTCACATTAACATCATGCCAATCTCTCACATCAACATCATGCTAATCTCTCACATTAACATAATGTTAATCTCTCACATTAACATCATGCTAATCTCTCACATTAACATCACGCTAATCTCTCACATTAACATCATGGTAATCTTTCACATTAACATAATGCTAATCTCGCACATTAACACGCTAATCGCTCACATTAGCATCATGTTAATCTCTCACATTAACATCATGCTAATCTCTCACATTAACATCATGCTAATCTCTCACATCATCATGCTAATCTCTCACATTAACATGCTAATCTCTCACATTAACATCGTGCTAATTTCTCACAATAACATCATGCTAATCTCTCACATTAACATCATGCTAATAGCTCACATTAACATCATGCTAATCTCTCGCATTAACATCATGCTAATCTCTCACATTTACATCATGTTAATCTCTCACATTAACATCGTGCTAATTTCTCACATTAACATCATGCTAATCTCTCGCATTAACATCGTGCTAATTTCTCACATTAACATCATGCTAACCTCTCACATTAACATCGTGCTAATTTCTCACGTTAACATCATGCTAATAGCTCACATTAACATGCTAATATCTCACATTAACATGCTAATCTCTCACATTAACATCATGCTAATCTCTCACATTAACATCATGCTAATCTCTCACATTAACATCATGACTTTACCGAAAGAACCAAAGAGAATAGATTCCTGCAGTAACGAAAGCTCAAAATTCAAGTTTCAGGATTGTCCTGTCAGAAGTTAAATGAAACCCAGCGCGATGACGTCACCCATCCCCCGCCCAACCACCACCCGCGACGTCACACAATGCGTCTCGTTGACGTCATCGCGCACGGCGCGAACCTAACGCGGTGACGTCCCACGCTCTCCCCTCTGCCTGCAACGTCGCCTCACGCCCTGCGCGATGACGTCACGACGCATGTAAAGTACCCGGCGGTGACGTCGCCGTTGTAAACACTCGGGCCCCGGTGGAGGCATGGCGGAGTGAAGTTCTCTTCACCACCCGGCCGCTACCGCCGCCGCCGCCTTCTCCACAGCAGCAGCAGCGGCGGCCGTGGCGACGGTAGCGCGATGCTGGAAGGGGCCTCGTCGCTCCTCGCTCGGCCAGAGTCGGTGCGCGCGGTCGAGAACTCGCCGGCGAGGCCGCGATGGCGGGAGCCCGGGCCTCAAGGCCTGGCGGTTCGCCTGGGACGCTGCCCCCTTTCGCGCAAGCGGCAGGGCGGGGACGCCTCGCAGAGGTCGGTGCCGCGGGGTGCGAGGAAGAATTTTTTTGTTTATTTAAAAAAAATTTAAACCGCACGCGGGAAACAAAAAAAACCGTAGACTTTAATAATGTGAATTCGTTTTGTTTTATAATTCGACACTTGCACACACGAAGAGGTAAGTTGTTTAAAAGTGTTAAGGCGGGCCCGCAGGTCGTCACGGAAAGTCGGAATCCCCAACAAAATTTACCCGAACGACGGCAGCAGGAGCAGCAGCAGCAGGAACAGCGTGGTTCAGGAGCTCAATGTAAAATGTCGATATCTGCTCGCCACGACGTGAGAGGGCTTCAGGAGAGAGAGATAGAGAGTGTGCACTTTAATTATTCACATCATCGGTACAGTACAACGATGGCGATTCCTGCGCTACCCGTCGTGCTACGAAGACTTTTCTGTTTCGATTTAAAGCTTTCGTGACTGCAAGGATTCATCTTCTTTGGTTCTTTCGGTAAAGTCACGTAGAATGAGAACAAAAATAATAAAATAACACAATCAAATTATCACGACGTTTCGGCCACAACGCAAGCGGCCGTCTTCAGGTGAAAGGAACAGACCTGTCGGGACGACAGAGCTTCAATGAACGATGTTAAGATTCGTAGCGACTTTTAAGCTGGTTGGGAGAAGTGAGGCGCCTTGACAAAGGGGTTTACATATCATATAGCTAAATAACTATAGGAATAGGTTTTACCCTTTTAACTGGCACAAAAATTGACACCTTTATTCAAGGAATCATGTTTGCAATAACCACAACACAAGCAGTCAAAATGCAAACAAAAAAGACAACTCTGATAATAATATTGGCACTGTCCTTGAATTTGATTGGTCCACACCCGAGACGGCTTTTCTTAGAGCCTAGTCTCCATTGGTGTTGGACCAGAAGACGCCAAAAGGCGTACAACTCAAAAACAGCGCACTATCAGAGTATTGAGGGCTGGGGGTGAGCATTTACATTATGAGACCTTTGCCAGAAACAAGATATAGGAATAGGTTTTACCCTTTTTACTGGCACAAAGAGGACTTCTTTCTGCGCAATGCTCGCTCATGAAAGCACTGTCCAGGCTCTAAGTCGTAGTAGCTACTACTACATAGTACATAGTATTAGCTACTACGACATATACTGCTACATATGATGTAGTAGCTACTACATAGTACATAGTAGTAGTAGCTACTACGACATATACTACTACATATGATGTAGTAGCTACTACTACATAGTACATAGTAGTAGTAGCTACTACGACATATACTACTACATATGATGTAGTAGCACTACTACATAGTAGTAGCTACCACGACATATACTACTACATATGATCTAGCTACTACTACATAGTACATAGTAGTAGTAGCTACTACGACATATACTACTACATATGATGTAGTAGCTACTACTACATAGTAGTAGTAGCTACTATGACATATACTACTACATATGATGTAGTAGCTACTACTACATAGTACATAGTAGTAGCTACTACGACATATACTACTACATATGATGTAGTAGCTACAACCATATGTACATATAAGCTTTGATTTAAAGCTTTCGTCACTGCAGGGATTCATATTCTTGGTTCTTTCGGTAAAGTCACGTTGAAGGGAAACAATAAAATAATAATATATATAAAACAAAATTCTCACGACGTTTCGACTGTAACACAAACAGTCATCATCAGGTGTGAGAATTGTATTGTTTTATATATATTATTGTTTCCCTTCAATGTGACTTTACCGAAAGAACCAAGAATAGAATTGAAGCTTTCGTGACTGCAGAAATTACTATACTCATTGTTTTTTTTTCGTTAAAGTCACCTATGTAGAAATTGAATAACTTGGGTATTAAACTTTTTCTTAGGTTTGTTGAGTTTCTCGTCTCACATCTTGTTGTTGTTGTATCTGCCTCCGTGCAGTTTAACGTTTCTCTGCTATGTGCTATGTGCGTTATGCCCCTCTATGTGTTCACTCGCTATTTGTTTTACACCTGACGATGATCGCTTGTGTTGCGTTCGAAACGTCGTGATTTATTTTAATTTAGGTAAAATTTTATTTTAATTCTACATACGTGAGCTACATATGTAGCTACTACATATATACATATGTAGTAGCTATTACATATATACATATGTAGGAGCTACTACATACTATTTACATATGTAGTAGCTACGGGCGCCGCACTTTCAAGGACCCCGCGCTAAATGTTTTGAAGCTATCAATTCCGGTTTAGTGATTCTGCACTTGCTCTATTACTATAGTACTATACCGCCTTCAACTTTTATGAACGACCGGGTGTTTAAGGTTAGCGATTTGTCGCATTATCTGGCTGTATAGCAAATGAAAACATACAAATACTTTACTGTGCAAGTTCAAAATGCATGTGTTTTAATATTCATGTGTTTGTGTTATGTACCCAGGGCCCCTTTATAACACATGCTACAGGCCGCGCACACTAGCTTAATCCGGCACTGCCCCTGACGTGCGGCACCCCGACGATACACACAGAGTGACACCCCCCAATCATCATCAACGTGCTGCTGTTAAACTCCCCAGTGGTTTCAAATGTGTGGCGGCCATCCTCACACTGATGATGTCGTATCGGCGGCGAAAGTGCCCCCTCACCCCGTCCTTGAAAATTGTTTCCGTAAGCCAGACAAATTTACCAACCAGCCACAGGTGCCGCAAGCTCTACTCCTACTCCCCTGCTCCTAACCGGAGACCCCCCCCCCCGCCCAGGCTGCCCCCCTCACCCCCGCCGCCCACCACGTTCTCTGCAATGTTGACGTCTTGCTGCTGCTGCTGCTGCTCACGTCTGCCAGGGGTCTCGCGTGTAAAAAGCCGGGGCAACTGGCTGTACCGGCGACCACGGTCCGCGTGACAAATCGACATCACCGTCAAGCCCGCCGCTGTCGGTTGTGTGTCCACTTTCTGTGACGCGCAGCGCCGGTCCCCGCTCCGCCGCTGAGCCCCTCCGCGTTCACCGCAGTGCGTGCCTCAACGCTGGGACGGACCGAGAGGGGTCGCCCCGAAAGCGCCAGAAGATCGGTGAATTGTCTGTCGGTCGTGTCTGTACACAGTGTTTGTACGTCGGTCGTGTCTATGCATCGTGGCTTCTGTGTCGCGTCCGTGCGTCGCGTCCGTGCGTCGTGTCCGTGTGTCGTGTCTGTACGTCGCGTCTGCGTCGGCCGTGTCGCACACACAGAGCAGCTCATAGACGCTGCGTCGAGCGTGTTCGGCGTCGTCTCGTCCGCCGTCTCGTCCGCCGTCTCGTCCGCCGTCTCGTCTGCCGTCTCGTGGGCCGTGAGGATGGGTTCAAGTCCCTTCTGTGGTGGCTCCCATGTTCCGCGGGACGTCCTCTCCGACAGCCCCGCACCGCGACCGCCGCCATCGCTCAGCACGCACCGCACCGCCGCCTCCAGCGCCCAGGTGCCTCGCGGCGTCCCTCACCACCACCACCACCGTTTTTCCCATCGTCGTCAACGTCATGGTAGCCGTGCTCTATCCGCTGCTGGGCGACGTTTTCGCCCAACTCTCGATATCGGTGATGGACTTGAGATGCCATGACCCGTCGCGTCTCGCCGGCGCGCGAGATGAATTAATTGCTCCATCTTCGGGGGTTGGCGAGCTGTTGAGCGAGTACCTCTCCTTTGCCTGTCAATCGGTCGTGTTCGTCTCAACCACCGGCCATCGTTCTTTCCAGCGACGTGTCCTGCCCCGGCTTCGAGTCTTTAACCTGCGCATGTTCTCTAATCCATCTCATGGCGACCTTGTCATTTACACTGCCCGCCTTTTCTCCTCTCTTCTCTTCTTTCTCTCTGTCCATCTCACTCATTCTGTCACTCTCTCCCAACCCTCTTGTTGCGTCCCCTCCTCTTGCCTCTCTCGCTGTTCCTACCTTGTCATCCTTCTCCCACGATATTCCCATCTCTCCCATTGTCTCCTCCCCTCTCATTTCCCCCTCTCTGCGAATCTCTCCCTACCCCTGCAAGTATCCTCTCTCTTCTCCTTCACGCCCAGTCCTCTCCTTCTTTATATCTCTCTCTCTTCTCTCTTCTCTCTCCCTCCACGCCGTTCCCTCTTCCTCCTCTCTCCTTTTCTCTTCCGCACCGCCTCTCCATCTCCTCTCTCCAGGCCACAGGGAGACGGAGGCTGCCACTAAGAGGCGACCGAGACATCCTGCAGTCACCCTCCCACGGTGCGTCCGTCACACAGCCCTCACGCTCGCGTGCGCGTTCACAAGTACACGTATGTGCGCGTGTGTGCGTGTACGTTAGTGGGTGCATGTACACGTACACACGTGTGCGCATATGTGGCGCGTGCGTGCACGTACATATGTGTGCGCATGTGCACGTGCAGTTTCCCTCCAGCAGCGTGGAGGAGCCGGCCCAGAAGTGGTACCGCCCCCGCAGTGCCGTCGTGTTGGGGACACAGGGCCCCCCACGGAGTGGTCCCCCCCGCACGCCACCCTGGGCTCCGTGGACGTCTGCCTGGACAGGCTGTGTCTGAGTTTCAGTTTCAGTTTATTTTGGTATGGCACTGTGAGCCATTCGGCTCTTGAATCGGGTGCAACCACAACAAACAAAAAACAAAAACACGAACAAGAAAAACATCTTAAAGTGACTATGTGACTGTGCAAACAGAAAATCCATGGAAAGAAACAGCAAAAATATTCCTGAAAAAAGCAACGTACACCAACGCTGTGTGCAAAAAATCCCAGTGGGATGCAAGTCAACAACAACAACCACAAAACCTTAGATTAAGGCCATCGGTCTAACTCCGTACTACAAACCAAAAAACGTTTTCCAAATCACCAAAAAATAAAGCCATAATTGCAACGTAACAGTGATCACAAGGACTGTGACCGAATTTTTACAATAAACTACATAAATAACACGTAACACCAAATCCTAGAGCAGTGGTTCTTAACCTGGGTTCGATCGAACCCCAAGGGTTCGGTGAGTCGATCTCAGGGGTTCGGCAGAGCCCCCGCCACGGAGGTCCGGACACACTTGAATTATTGTGTAAATTTGTGATGACACACACGGCCCGCTTGGCCATCACTGGCTGCAGATGATCATGCTACACTGCTTGGCCAATCAGTGCTGCGGGGAATTTAGTGCGTACTCAGTAGTCAACGTGTGACTGTTGTTGTCGTACGTCGTGTGATTTCTTTAATATTTTATCCATACTAACTATGTCGGGCAAAAGAAGAAAGTGGTCGGACGAATATGTACAACATGGATTCTCATGTATCACGGAACGTGATGGGAGTGAGCGTCCTATCTGCATGATTTGCAACGCCAAGTTGAGCAACTCTAGTCTTGCACCGGCAAAACTAAAGGAACACTTCTTGAAGCTGCATGGAGACAGGGAATACAAGAACACAACACTTGCTGAATTCAGGGTGAAGAGAGCCAGATTCGATGAAAGGGCCACTCTGCCTGCTCTTGGATTTGTACCTGTTAACAAACCGATCCTGACAGCATCGTACGAAGTTGCTTACCTGATCGCAAAGCAGGGCAAGCCACACACCATTGGTGAAACACTTGTGAAACCAGCTGCATTAAAGATGGCGAATCTGATACTCGGAACAGCGGCCGAAGGTAAATTATCCCAAATTCCCCTTTCAAATGACACCGTCAGTGACAGAATAGAAGACATGAGTAAAGACATCTTGGCTCAAGTAGTCGCGGATCTGATTTCAAGCCCGGCAAAATTCAGCCTTCAACTCGACGAAACCACAGACGTTTCTGATCTAAGCCAGCTTGCTGTTTTTGTACGCTATGTGAAAGACGACATGATAAAAGAAGAGTTTTTATTTTGTAAGCCTCTTACAACAACAACGAAGGCAGCCGATGTGAAGAAGCTTGTGGATGACTTCTTCAGAGACAACAATCTTTCATGGGATATGGTTTCTGCAGTTTGTACGGACGGAGCTCCAGTCATGCTGGGAAGAAAGTCTGGTTTTGGTGCGCTAGTAAAGGCCGATGCACCACACATCATTGTGACGCATAGTATTCTGCACAGGCATGCGTTGGCAACAAAAACCTTACCTCCAAAAATGGCAGAAGTATTAAAAACTGTGGTGGAATGTGTGAACTATGTGCGAAAAAGTGCTCTGAGGCACTGCATCTTCAGTGAGCTGTGTAAAGAAATGGGCTCTGAATTTGAGGTACTTCTGCTCCATTCTAATATTCGGTGGTTATCCCGGGGACAGGTGCTGAATCGTGTTTTTGCCATGCGTGTGGAATTAGCCCTGTTTTTGCAAGAGCACCAACACTGCCATGCAGATTGCTTCAAAAATCCTGAGTTCATTCTCATTTTAGCGTACATGGCTGATATATTCGCAGCTCTCAATCATCTCAATCAGCAGATGCAGGGTGGTGGAGTCAATATCATGGAAGCGGAAGAACACCTGAAGGCTTTTGAAAAAAAGCTACCGTTATGGAAACGACGAACAGAGAACAATAACTTCGCAAACTTCCCGCTTCTGGACGACTGTGCAAGTAAGATCGAAGAAGTGTCTGGAATCGGAGATATTTCTGTATCCACGGAACTGAAGCAAACAATTGCCACGCACTTAGATGAGCTTGCAAAGTCTCTCGACGGATATTTCCCTACAAGAGAGTCATATCCAGCATGGGTGAGACAGCCGTTCACGTTTGCTGTTGAAACAGCAGATGTCAATGATGAATTCCTCGACGAAATCATTGAAATTCAGCAGAGCCAGGTTCAACAGCAACTCTTCAGAACAACAACGCTCTCAACGTTTTGGTGTCGACAAATGAACAAGTATCCAGTTATTGCTAAGAAAGCCCTGGATTTTTTATACCATTTGTTACAACATATCTTTGTGAGCAATCCTTTTCGAGGATGCTGGACATAAAAACGAAGAAAAGGAACAGACTTTGCTGTGAAAATGACATGAGAGTGGCACTTGCCAAGGTGAAGCCACGCATATCTGAACTGATCTCTCAAAGGCAACAGCAGAAGTCACATTGATTTCCAGGTATGTAATTTGTTGTGAGTTTATGCATTGTGTTGGTTTTATTCTTTGAACAAGGTAATGTTCATGCACGGCTCATTTTGTGTACCAGTAAAAAACATATCTATGTCTTGAATTTGAAAAAAATCACATTTTATTTTTCACTAAAGAGGGGTTCGGTGAATGCGCATATGAAACTGGTGGGGTTCGGTACCTCCAACAAGGTTAAGAACCACTGTCCTAGAGCCATAGCTGGTTGCATGAGTTACTTCACAACAACAGAAGCATCGGTCGGAGTATCACATTTTTCAATGCACCTTTAAGATCACGCTAAATCAAAATACAGATAATACTTTGCAGCGTCATCCGGAGCGAAACATTTTATTTTATTTTACGCCAATGAATAGCAGTGGCAGCTAGGGGTGTACAATTCATCTAGAGCAGTTTTGAGAGATGATCTCATTGGTAGCGATTCAAGTTGCAGTTTATTGGCAATAGCATTCCAGACTCTGGGGGCATCAATAGCAAAGGCCCTTCCTCCAGTTTTTCTACGGCAATAGGGAATGTGAAGCTGGTAAATGAGCGAAGACCTGAGGTCAAATTTGTTCTTTGAAACAGAGAGGAGATCCAGCAGGTAGTCTGCGGATTTTTTTGTAAGTACATCGTGAATAAATAAGATCTGGTGCACAAGCCGTCGAACATTAAGAGATGTTAAGCTTGACCCAATGTAGAAATTACAGTGGTGAGTCCTATATGGGCAGTTCAATGTAAATCTTAAGGTCAAGTGATAGATGGAATCAAGCTTCTTCAGTACAGTACTTGGGGCTGATTTATACACGATGTCACAGTAGTCAAGTAGAGGCAGTATGGTAGCTGTTATCAATTCCAAACGGAACATTGGGGGGAAGCAGTGCTTGTGTCAATACAGAAAACCAATTTTTATTTTTGTCTTTTTACCAATATAATCAATGTGATCTTCAAAATTCAGTTTTGAATCCAGGATGACCCCAAGATACTTATAGATCTTGACTTGCTCTATTTGATAATTATTTAAGGAATTAATTGGGAAAAAATAACTTCCTGCTTTAGTCCTGGTGAGAAGCATAGCACCTTGGTTTTGGAGGTATTCAGGACTAGTTTAAGAGCAACTAGCTGATGTTGTAGTTTGTTGAAATCACCCTGTAGCTTAGCAATCACGTCATCCGGAGAGCGGCCAGCAGTAATCAGTATCGAGTGCGGACACGCGCGGGCCCCCCAACTCGGTCGACACCAGTGAGTTGAGGGGACCTGGGGGGGGGCATCTGTAGGGGGAGAGTGGGTAGGTGAGGAGGTGAGTGTTTGAGGATGAGGGGGTGTGTGGGTGGCTTTGGATGGTGAGGGCGTGTGGGTGCATGGAGGAGTGGATGGGTGAGCATGCGTTGCGTGTGTTCCGGTTAATGCACCCTGCTCCAAATCCAACAACTTTAGATACATTCCCAGCCACAGCCGACATCATTGGCGATTATCTGCATGCGTCCCTGGGCCTCACGTAGATCGACTCAGCCTCTAATGAGTGCCTGGTGTAGTGTATAATGATTAGCACCCGGGGAGACAAAGGTGGCCGTGTGGGCATGGTCCTGGCCACACCACCCCATTGTGCGTGGTGCCATCCTTCACAGGTGCTACTAACAGCCTGTGCGGCTATGAAGTTAAATCTTTGTCTTTGTGTTTTTATTTGTTTAGGGGCCTATATGACAAACTCAGGCGAGAACGAGGGGGAGGGGACGGAAGAGGAGTATGAGGAGGAGGAAGAAGAGGGGGAGGAGGAAGATAGTGACTGCGATGTGTCCATCATTGGAATCATCCAAACACCTCAGCCCAACGGACTGTTAAGGTACGGAAGCCGTTTAAACGCCCCCCCCCCCCCCCATTACGGATTACTTCGTGCATATTCTTTGGGTCTTTCGGTAGATTTCGATTTAAAGCTTTCGTGACTGCAATGATTCATCTTCTTTGGTTCTTTCGGTAAAGTCACGTAGAATGAGAATAAAATATTAAATTGATAAAATAAAATAACACAGTAATATTCTCACGACGTTTCGGCCACAACACAAGCGGCCTTCAGGTGAAGGGACGAGACTGTCTGGTAGGACAGCGCTGGAGTGAAAGAGCCACGTTCAGATCACGACCTTTAAGCCTCAACTTTAGCACGTAGATTGAAAAAGTAATAAAAACATGACGTTTCGATCGCAACACAAGCAGTCGTCATCAGGAGAAAAAAAGTGACGATTGCTTACAGTGAGGGAAAAAGTATTTGATCCCCTGCTGATTTTGTACGTTTGCCCACTGACAAAGAAATGATCAGTCTTTAATTTTAATGGTAGGTTTATTTGAACAGTGAGAGACAGAATAACAACAACAAAAATCCAGAAAAACGCATGCCAAAAATGTTATAAATTGATTTGCATTTTAATGAGGGAAATAAGTATTTGACCCCTCTGCAAAACATGACTTGGTACTTGGTGGCAAAACCCTTGGTGGCAATCACAGAGGTCAGACGTTTCTTGTAGTTGGCTACCAGGTTTGCACACATCTCAGGAGGGATTTTGTCCCACTCCTCTTCTCCAAGTCATTAAGGTTTGGCAACTCGAACCTTCAGCTCCCTCCACAGATTTTCTATGGGATTAAGGTCTGGAGACTGGCTAGGCCACTCCAGGACCTTAATGTGCTTCTTCTTGAGCCACTCCTTTGTTGCCTTGGCCGTGTGTTTTTGGTCATTGTCATGCTGGAATACCCATCCACGACCCATTTTCAATGCCCTGGCTGAGGGAAGGAGGTTCTCACCCAAGATTTGACGGTACATGGCCCCGTCCATCGTCCCTTTGATGCGGTGAAGTTGTCCTGTCCCCTTAGCAGAAAAACACCCCCAAAGCATAATGTTTCCACCTCCATGTTTGACGGTGGGGATGGTGTGATCTTGGGGTCATAGGCAGCATTCCTCCTCCTCCAAACACGGCGAGTTGAGTTGATGCCAAAGAGCTCCATTTTGGTCTCATCTGACCACAACACTTTCACCCAGTTGTCCTCTGAATCATTCAGATGTTCATTGGCAAACTTCAGACGGGCATGTATATGTCCTTTCTTGAGCAGGGGGACCTTGCGGGCGCTGCAGGATTTCAGTCCTTCACGGCGTAGTGTGTTACCAATTGTTTTCTTGGTGACTATGGTCCCAGCTGCCTTGAGATCATTGACAAGATCCTCCCGTGTAGTTCTGGGCTGATTCCTCACTGTTCTCATAATCATTGCAACTCCACGAGGTGAGATCTTGCATGGAGCTTCAGGCCGAGGGAGATTGACAGTTCTTTTGTGTTTCTTCCATTTGCGAATAATCGCACCAACTGTTGTCACCTTCTCACCAAGCTGCTTGGCAATGGTCTTGTATCCCTTTCCAGCCTTGTTTAGGTCTACAATCTTGTCCCTGACATCCTTGGAGAGCTCTTTGGTCTTGGCCATGGTGGGGAGTTTGGAATCTGATTGATTGCTTCTGTGGACAGGTGCATTTTATACAGGTAACAAGCTGAGATTCGGAGCACTCCCTTTAAGAATGTGCTCCTAATCTCAGCTCGTTACCTGTATAAAAGACACCTGGGAGCCAGAAATCTTTCTGATTGAGAGGGGGTCAAATACATATTTCCCTCATTAAAATGCAAATCAATTTATAACATTTTTGACATGCGTTTTTCTGGATTTTTTTGCTGTTATTCTGTCTCTCGCTGTTCAAATAAACCTACCATTAAAATTATAGACTGATCATTTCTTTGTCAGTGGGCAAACGTACAAAATCAGCAGGGGATCAAATACTTTTTTCCCTCACTGTACGTGACTTTACCAAAAGACCCAAAGAATATTAATTCCTGCAGTCACGAAAGCTTCAAGTCAAGGTTTTTACTCCATGCAGTCGCGATATCCGCGGAGCCGTTCTAAATCGATGTTTTTGTTGAAACGCAGTTTGCTGAGCACAGGAGGCCCAGAGGCTCAATGTGTCGAGCGGCCGGGAAACAGCCGTCGCTGGCAAAGACGTATAATCGATGAGTGTTATTCGCGCCTTTCTCGAATCGAGCGAGGTTATTCCTGTGAGAGTTTGGTGGTCGGGGCTTAAAGAGACGGTGAGAGGGAGTTACAGAGTGGATCAGTGCGAGGAAATTCGCAGCAAGGGTAGTGAGGTGACCTGCAGTGAGGTGAGTGAGTGGGTGCGTGAGTGAGCGAACGAGTGAGAGAGTAGGTGTGTGGGTGAGGTATTCAGTGAGCGTGTGAGTAGGTGAGTGAGGCGTTATGACCTGCAGTGTGGTCAGTGAGTTGGTTGGTGAGCAGGTGAGTAAGCCGTGACCGGCAGTGTGGCGAGCGAGTTGGTTGGTGAGCAGGTGAGTGAGTGGGTGAGTGAGCACGCGGTTGAGTGAGCAAGCAGGTGAGTGAGTGAGTAGGTGTGTTAGTGAGTTGGTGTGTAAGGGAATGAGTACGTGAGTGAGTCGTGGTGACTTGCAGTGTGGTGGTGGTTAAACACGGAGTGCAGGATAGGATGAAAGAGTCGTAAGTCTGCTAAGACCCCAAAGCCCCCTGCCATGGGAATGTGGAACTTCCCGCCGGTGGCTCAGGTTCCGGGCCCAAGTCTCTCGAGCCGGCAGGCTCGTCGCTCGGCCCTGACGCGAGACCGCTGGCGTGGCGCTTGCAGGGAGAGGTGCGGGGCACAGTTGCCCGGGGACACGGACACGCCTCTGCGTGAGGAGAGTCCGGGCTTCGTCGGTGCCGCCCCCCGTGGCTGCCAGCTCGGAGTCGGCGCCAGTGCGGCGGACGGGCGGAGTGGCGAATTCCCGGAGCTCACCAAGGCACGCGCCGCGTCTGTGTGCGTGCGTGTGCGGTGGGTGTCTGTATTGCTACGCACGTGTGGATGTCTTTGTGCGTCTCTCTATATGTGTCTGTGTGTGTGTGTGTCTGTGCGTGCGTCGCCACGTGTGTGCATGCATCTCTGTGCATGTCTGTGTGCGTGCGTCTCTGTGTGTGTGTGTGCGTGCATGCGTCTCCACGTGTGTGTGTGTGCGTCTGGATGCGTGCTTCTCCACGTTTATGCGTGTCTGTTTGCGGTGGCGTGAACCTGGCGACCCGGGTTCGATTCCCGCTCACGGCCAACACCAGTGACGATTACCTGAACCGGTCCTGGGCCTCCCCTAGGTCGACTCAGCCTCAAATAAGTACCTGGCGCGGTGTATAAGCATCGCCACTGGAGAGACAAAGGCGGTCGAGCGTGGTGCTGGCCACTCACCCCCTCGTGTACCGTTCTCACTAGGTGCTCACTAACAGTCTGTTAAGGCGATACAGGGAATCTTTGTTTTATCTTTGTCTCTGTGTGTGTGTCTTGGTGTGTGTGTCTGTGTGCGAGCATCTCCACGTGCGTGCGTCTCTGTGTGTGTGTCTGTGCGTGCGTCTCCACGTGAGTGTGTGTCTGGTTGTGTCTGTGTGCGAGTATCTCCACGTGCGTGCGTCTGTGTGTGTGTGTGCGTGCGTCTGTGTGTGTGTGTGTCTGTGTGCGTGCGTCTGTGTGTGTGCGTGCGTCTGTGTGCGTGCGTCTCTGTGTGTGTCTGTGTGCGTGCGTCTGTGTGTGTGTCTGTGTGTGTGCGTCTGTGTGTGTGTCTGTGTGCGTGCGTCTCTGTGTGTGTGTGCGTCTGTGTGTGTGTGTGTGCGTCTGTGTGTGTGTGTGCGTCTGTGTGCGTGCGTCTCTGTGTGTCTGTGTGCGTGCGTCTGTGTGTGTGTGTGTGTGCGGTGCAGGAGATGGTGTTGGCTGTGACCGAGGCGTCACGCGGGGTTGACCCCGATGAGGTCGTGTCGCGACACGGCCCCCACTGCGTCACGCGGCAAGATCTGAACACGCTGAGCGGAACCTCGTGGCTCAACGACAAGGTGCACGCGCACACACACGACAGACAAAGGTCCCCCGTAGAGCCTACACAGGCCCTCGGGGCAAGTGCTGCGAAAGCCAACACGGAGCATGAGGGGGGGTGGGGTCGATGTTTACACACAGCACCGGGTACTAATTTAAGGCTGATTTGACCTAGGGGAGGCCCAGGGCCAGTTCAGATATTCACCACTGTTGGCCGTGAGCGGAAATCGAACTCGGTTCGCCTGGTTCGTAGCGCAGTACACTAAATGCTTCGCTTCCCGACACACACACACGCACACACACAGCAGTATGGCATTTGCCATTAATTGACGGTAACAGGCTAAGGTGCACCTTGAGACCAAGTGAAGTATTGCAGGCTTATTGACAGGTCTCAGGACAGACCCAGGTGCCATGGGTTGACTGGCTGAGATGACTGACAGATGCACCACCTGTGCTCCCCACTGGACCAACTTGGTGCATTTTATCTACCCGGGGTACAAGTTGTTGTTCTGAGCGTCGCTCCTCCACCCTCTGTCGTTGCTGGAGGGCGATTGCCTCCAACTGTAGCGTCCTTCCCGAGCCTCCTCTACAGATGCTGATCTTAACGCTGGTGGTACCAGTCTTTGGCAAGTCCACTCGGCTCCACATCCTCCTGTACCGCATCAGCTCCATCTCTTCGCGGCACTAGCTGCTCCCGTTTAGCCCCCTCTTATCTGGCCAAACACAAACTGCTCGGGCATGCGGTGGCTGGGCACGTGGACTACCATGACCTAGGCACCACAACCTCGCCTGCCGGAGGCGCTCAATAATTGGACTGTGTCTAGGTTTTTCAAGAGTCTATGAGCACCTCGTACAATCCAGCGCTGGTTTCAGGCTGGCCCGGCTGTGATCTATAGCCTGAATGTGTTCAAACCGGCACAGGTGTTCCTGTAAATGTATCCACGTTTCACAAGCAAAGAGAAGGAGCAGAACGAGACGGCTCGGAGCTTCCTGTGGAGCGACAGATTCGGCACACGGCGTTACTTATGCAGCCAATCAGCAGACAGTGCCGCTCTTCCGATGCGTAGCCAGAACTCTGCTGCCAAACTGGAGCGGGGCACGAGCACGCTGCCCAAATATGTGGTCGTCCTCTACTATGTCCACAACTCTGCTGCACTGCGTACCCTCTCCCCGTGTCTCCCTCCTCCCTTGCGTGTCCAAATCCACGCTCCGTTGCTTCGCCTCCCGGTCCATCCACCCGCCCGCGTGTCCGCAGGTCATTGACTTCTACCTGAGCCTCTTAACGGAGAGCGGGAGCAGCGCCGGTGTTGCCGGCGGCGCCGTGCCCGTCTACGCCTTCACCACGTTCTTCTACACGCGCCTGCGGGACTGTGGCCCCGCGTCCGTGCGCCGCTGGACCAAGCGCGTCGACCTGTTTGCCTTTCGCATCCTGCTGGTGCCTGTGCACCATGGGTCGCACTGGTGTCTCATTGTAAGCGGCCTCCACCTCTTCCCCCTCACCCCCCCCCCTCTCTGCCCCCTCCTCTCCCTCCTCCCCCCTCCTCCCCTTCCTCACCCCCTCATCCCCCTCCTCCCCCATCTCCCCTCTTCCCCCTCATCCCCCTCGGCCCCCTCCTCCTCCCCCCCCTCCTCCACTCCTTCAACCCCCTTAGCCCCCATTCCTCCCCGCTCCTCCCCCACATCCCACCTTCTCCCCTTCCTCCCCCTTCCTTCCCCTCCTCCCCCTCATCCCTCCTCCTATTCCTCCTGCCCATTGCGCTACACTCGGCACAGCACCAACTCTCGACTAAAACTGAACGACCGTGTTTACTTTTGCCGGGTTGCAAGGCCCGCTGAGCTGCGTAGCTCTGCTTCACCAGCGACCTGGCCGTCGCAAACTGGCAGCCAAGTGGGCTCATCGTCGTCGCGTGCAAATTCACAGCAGCGGCCAAATCCTCGCAGACGCGCGGTTCACACTCGTCGCACGTGACCCTGCGATGGCGGCGGTCGTGCGCGAGCACGTTTCGGGCGACGACCCTTCTTCAGAGCAAACGCGTGTTCGGGAAACAAAGGCGGTAAGCTGCGGTGTTGGCCACCCCTCCCGGCCTCAGCGGTCTGTTCACGGGTACCCACGGGGGATCTTTGTCTCTTTGTGGCTGCGGCCGTGCGTGCGCGTGTTGCTGTAGGTGATTGACGTCTGCAAGAAGCGAATCACCTACTACGACCCCCTGGGCTCCAGCAACACCGCAGCGTGCCACGACCTCCTGTAAGACGCGTCGCAGCAACAACAGCGCAGCGCAATATTACAACGCAGCACGACAACAACAACAACAACAACAACGCAGCACGACAATTACACACGCACGGCTCGAGCGACGCAGTGCAATCACACAGCAGCGCAACACCGCAGCGTGCCGCGACCTCTTGTGAGACGCGTCACAACAATAACGACAACGCAGCACAACAACACAGACACGGCTCGAGCGACGCAGCGTTACAACACGGACACAATTGAGGTTACAAAGCAGAGCAACGGTACGACGCAGCGATAAGGTCGCAGCAATAAGGTAACCTGACTGCACGACCACAGCAACCACGACAACCACGACAACCACGACAACCACGACAACCACGACAACCACGACAACCACGACAACCACAACAACCACGACAACTACGACAACCACAGCAACCACGACAACCACAACAACCACGACAACCACAACAACCACGACAACCACGACAACCACGACAACCACAACAACCACGACAACCACGACAACCACAACAACCACAGCAACCACGACAACCACGACAACCACAACAACCACGACAACCACGACAACCACGACAACCACAACAACCACGACAACCACGACAACCACAACAACCACAACAACCACGACAACCACAGCAACCACGACAACCACGACAACCACGACAACCACGGCAACCACGACAACCACGACAACCACGACAACCACAGCAACCACGACAACCACGACAACCACAACAACCACAACAACCACGACAACCACGACAACCACAACAACCACAGCAACCACGACAACCACGACAACCACAACAACCACGACAACCACGACAACCACGACAACCACAACAACCACGACAACCACGACAACCACAACAACCACAACAACCACGACAACCACAGCAACCACGACAACCACGACAACCACGACAACCACGGCAACCACGACAACCACGACAACCACGACAACCACAGCAACCACGACAACCACGACAACCACAACAACCACAACAACCACGACAACCACAGCAACCACGACAACCACGACAACCACAACAACCACGACAACCACAACAACCACGACAACCACAACAACCACAACAACCACGACAACCACAGCAACCACAGCAACCACAGCAACCACAGCAACCACGACAACCACGACAACCACGACAACCACGACAACCACACACCTGAATAGCCCAACATGGAAAATGACACCACCGCAGCACGACCTGACAACACCCCCGCGACAGCACGACACGGCACAACCGCACTACTCGCCACGACGATGCCTCCCGAGTTCTCATGCGCGCGTGTGCTCATCGTTATTATTTGAATAACAACTTGACGGAGGGTTCGTCGCCGCTGCCGCCGCCGCCGCCGCCGCTCCTGCTGCTGGCGCTGCCGCCACCGCGTCGGCAATTGGTCGCGCGCAGGCGCTACCTGTGCGAGGAGAGCGAGGTGAAGCGGGGGCGGCCGCTGGCGCCCCAGGACTGGGCGGTGCGGGGCTGCGTGGCGCCCGGGCTGCTGGCGCTGCCGCGGCAGAGCGGCCACGACGACTGCGGCGTGTTCGTGTGCCAGTTGGCACGAGGCGTCGCACGCGGCCTCGGGGCCGACTTCGGGCAGGTGAGCGAGGGAGGCCCGTCCGCGTGGCCCCCCGAGTGGGTTGTGGGCGGGTGAGTGGAGCGGGTGAGTGGAGCGTGGCTCCGGGTGGGTGAGTGTCACGGGAACTCGGGTGAGCGGGAGTCATGGGGCACCAGGGCAGGTGAGCGTGGGAGGCCGTGCGTGTACCCGCGGGGGCGGGGTGAGTGGATGAGTAGAGTTGGGCGAGTGAGGTTTCGGGTGGCTCCGGGTGGGTCGGTGAGAGTCGCGCGTGACCTGGGCGGGTGTCACGTGACCCTGTGTCACCCGTGAGTTGTGAACATGGGGGCGGTAGTGGCGTCGTTCACCTCGTGCGTACTTGTGCCTCCGTACGTTTGCCTGTCTGTGTTCGTGTGCCGCGCCGGCCTACGTAGGTGCTATTCGCTCATAGCGGTGGTTAGCGCGCTGCACTATGAACCCGAGTTCGATTCGCACTCATGGCCAAGACCAGTGATGATTATCTGAACTGGTCCTGGGCCTCCCCTAGGTCGATTCAGTCTTAATTGAGTACCTGGTGCGATATGTAAATATCTGGGAAGACAAAGGCAGCCAGGGACGGCTGGCCACCCAACCCCTTCGTGTGTTGTGCCGGTCTTCATAGGTGCTCGCCATAACAGCACTTGCCCCAACAGTCTGTTATCTGTACGTGTGCGCGCGTGTGACAATTTGTGTGGAGCAGCAGCACATGCCGTACTTCCGATGGCGCATGGCCTGGGAGATCCTGCACGCGCGGCTCCTGTGAGGAGCGGCGGCGGCGGCGGTGGCGGCGGTGGCGGTGGCGGTGATGCCGGCCGGTGGAGGTGGCGGCGGTGATGCCGGCCGGTGGAGGTGGCGGCCGCTTCGGCAGGAAACGGAACGCGGCGACGGGGAAGGTCTTCGAGCAGACGGGGGGGGGGATGTTGCGTCGAGGATCGGCAACACTTCATTGCGTGACGTTACATTTTTGGAATGGGTTTTCAGAAATTTTCCACGGGCAGCTGGCAGTCGCGCCGACGTTGGCAAGCAGTGGTGGGAACCGCTGGGACCGATGTTGAGGCAACGTTGGGGCCCAGGCTTCCGCGTTTACCGGGACAGAACGGCCGCCCGCTCAGCGGGCGTCCCCGTTGCGCGACGCCGTTTGCTCGGCGTTCGGAATGCGCGGACTTGGTCGAGCGTGCGCGGCCGGGAGGCGCGACCGTCGGCTCGGCCACGCCGAGGCTGCAGCAGAAGAGACACCCGAGGCCGGGAGAGAGAAACCCGGAAACAAGGAGACGCAGGACGACAGAGAAGCCGCCGCGACGAGCGGTGAACGCGCTGCCGCTCGACCGTGCGGATGACGGAGAGGGGACGTACAAGAGATGGAGAGACGGTGAGGAGGAGAGACTGGGATGGACACCAAGGGGCAAGTGAGAGGAGGAGAGGCTTGCAAAGAGGCTGTGAGCGACGAGCAGGCACGTGAAGGTGGGGAGAGTGACGGTGGTGGGGGGAGCAGGCAGTGGGGAATGAAGTGAGGTGACAGGAGGGAGGCGAGAAGGAAGATGGGGGTTGACGGAGGGACGGGTGGCGACGGCCACCTCAGCCAAAGCCTTGCCAAGGCCCCCCGACGACAGAGCAGTGTTGTCTTTTGCGTTAGGAGTTTGCCAAAGGCTTCCGATTTGTTCCGGGATTCTTCTGGATCACGCCACTGTACTGCTGTAACTTAGACTTACGCAGAGTGTAGTGCTCGGGACGAGCTTCGGATTTAAACATTTGCTAATTTTTTGCGAATTCAAAGGACCGTCTCATTTCTTTTGTGAATTTCGTGTTTACATTCTGCACTCCGTATTTAAAAGCCCCCGTGCCAATGACGGTGACGTCACACGGCGCCACGTGGGGGGGGAAGGGTAGCGGAGGGTTAGTGGGATGTGGAAGTGACATCACAGGAAGTGTGCCGTCAACAGGAAGTGACCACATTTTCCGGACTCTCTGAAATTTGGTATCTTGGTTCGATTCATAAATGTTTTTTTTTCGGAGTACGCATCGCCGCAGCGTGTGACGTGCATGTACAATGTGTGCGCGTATAATACAAACACACATTTGGACACGGGGGCGTGCGGTGTTTGTTTTTGTTGTTGGTACGGAATAACCCCTTTGTTTTATTTAAGAGGGATAACCGCTGGGGTCGCTGTGGCCTGAAAGGTCGCGCACAAACTCGGGCAAGCCTCCTTGCTCAACTCGCGCACACGAAGTCGCCTCGCCACGCTGCGCAATTTCCAATTTCTCATTCTGGCGATGTGTTGGTGTCGTCGTCATCCTACGGATTTTTTTTCACGTGAAGAGGTGACCGGCGGGTGGCTCGGAGGTTGGGGGATACCGGGCCGGAATTACCGATATTCCTGGGTTCAAATCTGGGCTTCAGCCGCTGCCTGTGATTTAACCGGGGTTCTCGAGCTTTAGTGAGCTGCCAGTCTCATCCTGGCCACCAATTACTCGGAGAAGCCACAGACTCGCACAGACGCCCGTGGAACTGCACTGCAAGTATCCCACCGACTGATCTTTGGTTGTGTACCCTGAGATCTTGGGTCGTACCCTGAGACCAGATGCATCTTGCTTTCCGGAGCGCCTTCCAATCCGCAGAATACGGTGGTATTCAACATCAAAGATTTGGGAGAAGGGCAAGTGGTTCTTGCATTTTATTTTCATTTAAACGTTTAGTTAAAAACTAACGAAAAACATCAACACTGCCAGAAATGCATCCATTGTTACAAAAAACTAAAAATTGCGCTCCCAAAGTTAACACAGCCGAGCGCGTGCGTGCACGCACATTGGAGAGCGGTGGTGAGGTGGTTGGCGCCCCGCGCTACGAACCCGACGACCAGACTTTGATTCCCGCTCACGACAAGAAAGAATATTTGAACCGGTCCCTGGGCCTCCCCTAGGTCGACGACTCTGCTTTGTATGAGTACTCGTTCCGGCGTGAAAATGTAAACAGCACTGGGGAGACAAAGGTGGACGGTCGTGGTGTTGCTCCCCCCAACCCCTTCCCCAGCCCCCCCCCCCCCCCCCCCCCCGTGCCGGCCTTCGTAGGTGCTACTCGCGAACAGCACTTTGCCTAACAGCCTGTTCAAGGCTACACGGGGCATCTTTGTGTGTACCTGTACACGTATGACTGGATGACTGGATGAGGGTCATTGAGGTGGGGAGCGGCGGGGGTGGGGGGGGATGGGGGCAGTGTATGCCAGTGCAGGCGTTGTTGGGGGGGAGGTGACCAGGTGACGTGGTGAGAGAGAAGGTGCTGCACACGCAGCCTCCTCTTGATTCGGGGGCGACGCCAGAACCACGACACCCGGCGTCGTCTGGGCATCGACGGACCCGCGACGCACGGGAGGAGAGCTCGGGCTCTCTGTGATCGCCCGGCGGTCGCCGGCTGACGTCGTAACATCTCCAGCGGGAACGCCGTTTCGTGTACAATTGGGAAAATTCACGCTTCGGGCTCCTCCAGTTTGGGTGAGAGACCCAAACCGATCGGCGCACTTGCCCGTGACGTCGACGGCTCCATTTGATCGTTCGATGGGCGGCTTAGAGGGCTGCGGCATGACGCCCACACAACGCTGCGAATCGTGATATTGGTCGTGAAAGCCTACGCGTGAAAGTGATCGTTATTACACCTCGCCCCATGTTTTGAAGACTGCGCCGGTCTGCAAGGAGTGGGCATCGGTCTGCCAGCAGGGTGGGACGGTGCTAAGTGGCTTTTCCGTGACGAGTAACTTGCAAGCAATTTGGCAAATGCGGGATCTTTACGGTTGTTACGCGCACCCCGCGGTATTAAACGGGGCGGCCTCTCGGTTCCGGACCGCCGACCTTGCGAACCCTCTGCAGCAGCGGACGAACGACGCTCGACCCCGACGTTCCGAATTTCGCCGTTGTTCCGTGAACGGACGGCGACGCCCGGCTGCGTTGCTCTTGCTCACGAGGCTGCGAAGCCACGGGTCGTGCCGGAAGGTCCCCAGGGCTCGCGGACGGCGGGGGAAAACTCGGCTTCGGCGACGTCACCGCCCGCCACCGCCGCCGCGTCCACCGTGGCGATGGCCCCCGGCGGAATGCGGTGGCGTGCGCTCCGAGCTGTCGAGCATCTCGCGGATGAGCGGCGGCAGGGAGCCGGGGATCTCGGTGGTGAGGGTGAGGACTCGCTCGGCGCCTGTGCGGGGTGGGGGAGGGAGGGGGAGGGGGGGGTGCGGAAGGGATGGATCGACGTGGGGGAATCGCGAGTTCTACGACAATCTCGGCTGGGAGTGTCATTTCACCGCCGGGTGAAGCCCGTTGCGCTGCTGGGCTCTCTCTCGCCGGTGAGGCGCCGGTGGAAGGCGCGGCAGCCCCTCAAGGGTCTCGTCCGCACCACCACCGGTCTTGCAGACCGCCAAGTCAATAACTGGAGTCGACCGTGGCGGCCAACGTTCACCCAGAACCGTAGCCACGTCGTTGCGAGTCGACCTGCAACGCCGCAGCCACACGGCACCCGGCTCGCCGCTCTCGCGGGCGAGAGCTGCGAGAACGACTTTGGGGGTCGCCCGCGAGCGAGCGCCGAGGCAGCCGCTCGACGAACCCCGGCGCCGACGATCGCCCGAATCGCCCGCGGCGCCGGGCCCGCCGCGCCGGCCGCGGTCGGCCTCTCACCCTTGGCGCCGATGCCGCGCAGGTCGGCGACGGCCATGAGGATGCGCGCGAAGGCCCGGGGCTGCGCCGGGAGTCGCCGTCGGCCCGCGTGCCGCTCCAGCGCCGCCAGCAGCGGCTCCTGCAGGCGCTCGACGCGAGCCGTCGCCTCCAGCCCCTCGCGGTCTGCCGGCCGGGGAGTCCGGAGCGGACGGGTTAGCGACGGCCTACTCGCTGTGCCTGGCCGGGCAGTGTGTGGGATCGACGGGGGTCTCCCACCCTCCCCGCACCAAGCCCCCTGCCCACCCCGCGCCCCTTCCACCCCCCTCTCACCCCCCTCCCAACCCCCCACTCTGGGCCGGTCTCTCGAGCTCCCTGGTGGCCGCTCATCTTTCGCCCGCTCGGCTTGCAACCCTAGCGGCGCGCCGTCTGTCGCCGGACCGCCGCGGCCCCCCGCGACCCTCCCCCCCCCCCCCGCGGCGAGCCTCACCGCCGCACACGAGGCAGACGGCGCTGAGCAGCGCGGCCTCGGCGTCGTCCAGCGCCAGCGCGTGGAGCCGCCCGGCGAAGGCGAAGACGTCGTCGGTGAGCGGGCCGCCCAGCGCCGCGCTGCCGATCTGCGTGCGCGTGAGCGTGAGGCCGTCCGAGAAGGTCACCGTGTCCCTCGCCGGAGTGTAGCGCGTGCACATGCGCAGGATCTGCGGGGTGCCGGTGGGGGGGGGGGGTGAAGGGGTCGAAGAGGTGAGGTTGGGGTCAGGGCAGCAGCGGCGGCGGCTTTTGGCTCGGCCGTCGAACAAAGATGGTGGTCACCGCGTCGGGTGCGCTTCCGCGCCCGTCTGGAACGCTCTTCCTTCCGCCTGTGCACTTTAAAATAATCTAGATTGAGAAACTCATCTCTTTAGAACTGCGTGTTGTTGTGTTTAGTTTGTTGTCCTTCGACCCCGGCCCGCACCTCCGATGAGCACGGTGGTGGGCTACGTACGGTGGTGCGAAAGAAGATGAACTACGTTCAGAGCAGCTGTTGCCACAAAAAGACGTGGGTCAAGGAAGATTTATTTTCGGAGGGGGGCGCGGAGGCAGTGGCGGATCCCAGGAGGTGGTGGAGATGGTGGGGGCTGTGACCCCCCCTCCCCCCCTTGAGCCACAGTATTGGTATTTTGTCGATATTTACCGAACATTGTTGATTTCGGGGTTTTTTTGGTTAATGCAAGGCCCTATTTTTTTTTTAAACCTTTAAATTCTGGGACTACTCGCCCCGCTCACCCTCCCCCCACCCTGGGAGGTTTTTTTCTGCATCCGCCTCTGGCTCGTGAACGCCGGCTGCGGCACGGACACCGTGCAGGAGGAATGTGGAACGCACGGGAGGCAACGTTGGCGACGCGCCCACAGAACACAGCGACGCGCTACGGCAAACATGGGGCCTTGTGCGCTCCGCTATGGCCCGCAGGCGAGGTCACACGTGACGTCTCCATGTGGTTACTTGGGAGGGGTGGGGGGGGGATGGGGAGCATCAGCGGTCCCCAGGACGGAGCGAAACCTCGCGGACATCGTGCCAAACAAAACGCGGTACGAAACAGTACTGGTCGGATGGCTTTCGCCAAGTCAGCCTGGCTGACCAGCTGATTTAACCCACTGACTGACTCACTGATGGATCGACCGACCGAGTCGTCGACAGACCGATGGGTTTCCCGGCTAACCGCGGCGGTTGGCTCGCTGGCCGAGAGACGAACCAGGATCTCGAGGCACGCGCCCTTGAGCAGCGTGATCTGGTCGGCGATGGAGAGCGAGTCGAAGCCCGGCACGCGCTTGGCGAAAGTCACGATGCTGACGATGCAGCGGGTGGAGAGGTCGCTGAACTTGTCCCACAGGCCCAGGTCCAGCTGCACGCGGTGGTCCGAGCTCGACTTCTACGTGCGGATCATCGGCGGCGGCGTCACCACCCCCCCCACCCCCGCCCGTGTCATCATCAGTGTCGCCATCATGAGCGGCGGTGCCTTCATCATCATCAGCAGTGCCATCGTTGTTGCCAGCAGCAGCAGCAGCAGTGCCATCATCAGCAGTGTCATGAGTAGTGTCTCGTAATCGTTAGCATCAACAGTGAGACCCGTGTAAGCCGCAGCACGAGACGCCACTATCTCATTAGACCTCCTTTGCCAGTACCAAAATGTAATAAGAGGGTTTTTAAATTTCGATTTCAAGCTTTCGTGACTGCAAGGATTCATCTTCTTTGGTTCTTTCGGTAAAGTCACGTAGAATGAGAATAAAATAAATTGATAAAATAACACAATAAAATTCTCACGACGTTTCGGCCACAACACCTGATGAAGGCCGCTTGTGTTGTGGCCGAAACGTGGTAATTTTATTGTGTTATTTTATCAATTTATTATTTTATTCTCATTCTACGTGACTTTACCGAAAGAACCAAAGAAGAAGAGGGTTTTTCCCCTTTTTTCTGGCAACAAAACTGAAACCTTTTGACAAGGATTCATGTCTGCATTAACCACAATACCTTCAGTCACAATGCAAACAAAAAACATACTATGATAATATATTGGCATTGTTCTGAAACTGGTCCACACCAAGGGACGGCTTTCTTTTGAGCCTCGACCCAATTGGTGCTCGACCACATGACGCCAGAAGGCGTCACACAGCTCAAAGACAATGCACTATCAAAGTAATGAGGGCTCGGGGTGATATTATCATAGTATGTTTTTTGTTTGCATTTTGACTGCAGATTTTGTGGTTAATGCAGACCTGAATCCTTGTAAAAAGGTTTCAGTTTTGTTGGCAGAAAAAAGGGGAAAACCCTGTTATTACGAGACGCCACTAATTCTGTTTTGCGGTATAAACACGATAAACGCATCCCGTCAACCCCTTATCAGTGCCGACCTTATTACGGACCAATTCAGACCTTATTGGTCACCCTGTGTCCTTAAATATCAACGTTCGTCCTACAAAGTCCCATCACAAGGGAGAAACGCAAACAAATAGACGAACTTATTTTTGTTGCCCGTATTGAAACGGCTGTAACGCCGCATGGATCTGACAACTCAACATCCCTGTAGAAGAACACGGCGTGAACCGTACGGGTTGACGGCTGTGTAAAGGCCACGTGTTCCGGCACCGAGGGCTCCAGTAACCCGAGTGCTGCTGTCTCTCGACTCGTCGTTTCAGGTCGGTGTGACCTGGCAGAGGTTCGGGGAGCGTGGGGCGAGGGGCGCTCACCCTGGTGACCTCACCCTGGTGTCCTCACTCTGGTGTCCTCACCCTGGTGACATCCTGGTGTCTGTCCTCACCCTGGTGACCTCACCCTGGTGTTCTCACCCTGGTGTTCTCACCCTGGTGTCTGTCCTCACCCTGGTGTCTGTCCTCACCCTGGTGTCTGTCCTCACCCTGGTGACCTCACCCTGGTGTCTGTCCTCACCCTGGTGACCTCACCCTGGTGTCTGTCCTCACCCTGGTGACCTCACCCTGGTGACCTCACCCTGGTGTCCTCACCGTGGTGTACTTGCCAAGCTGGTGGAGCGATGGGAAGGTGTCTTGGTGAGCCCGCCGAACGTTCTGTATCAGGGCGTCCATCTCGGTCTCTGTGTCACCACCACTGCCTCCACCGTCGGCACCACCACCGTCACCACCACCGTCGGCACCACCACCGTCGTCACCACCGTCACCACCGTCGGCACCACCACCGTCACCGCGTTCTGCCGTCGCAGCAGTGAACCGCTTGGCCGCCACCGCCTCCTCTCCCTCGGCGCTCCTCCTCCTCCTCCTCTCTCCTGTGCCTCCGTGACCGCCCCCCTCTCCCGCCTCGTCCTCCTCCGCCTCCTCCTCCTCGCACTCCTCCTTGCGCCTCTTCCCACGCTCGTTCCTCACCACTGGGCGGAACGCACCGACACGAACGTCAAGGTTATTGTCGTCGTCGTCGGCCGTGTGGCTTCGGACAGAGAGCGGCACACGCAGGCGTGCACACAAAGACAAAGACCCCACCGACCCCCAGTGTAGCCTGTAACAGGCCTTTGGGGCAAGCGCTGTTCGCGAGCGGCACCTATGAGGGCCGGCACGGCACACGAAGGGGGTGGGTGGCCAGCGCCACCACGCCTGGCCGCCCTTCGTCTCGATGTTCGCGACTCACCGTACCAGAATCAACTCGGTGGAGGCCCAGGACCGGGTCAGATGTTAGTCACTGGTGTAGGTGGCAGCGAGCTGATCGCTATGATGGCCCTGTCCACAGACTGTAACAACTACAGGGGCATCTCACTCCTCAGTGTACCGGGAAAGGTCCTGGCAAGGATTATTCAACATCGCCTCGCCAGGCACGCTGAGGAGAGGCTTGCGGAGCCCCAATGCGGTTTCAGGAAAGGGCGGTCCTGCGCAGATGCCATATTTTCTGTCCGTCTGCTACAGCAGAGGTGTAGGGAATTCCAGCAAGACCTACATCTCTGCTTTATTGACCTGGTCAAGGCCTATGATACCATCAATAGGCCTGGGCTCTGGGTTGTTCTTGGTGCTTTCGAAGTCCCTGACCCTCTGCTCATGGTCATTAAGGACCTTCATGATGGTGAGCGGGCCCGGGTAAAACTACGTGGCCGGGAGTCAGAGCCATTCCCTGTACACCTTGGGGTGCGACAGGGATGTCCTCTGGCTCCCACATTTTCTTACATCTATTAGTTCATGAAGGCTTCGATGGCTGTACCAGAGGAATTGACATCTGGTACAAATACAATGGGAGGCTGATCTATGCCGGTGTGTGGGCAAGGGATGGCTCCATATTAATCAACCATGTTTTATGTATGTCGATCTGGTAATTGCTGCTCACTCAGAGGAGGAGTTGGAGGTGCTGCTGCTGAACCTGGAGCTTGCCACTAAGAGCTGGGGCCTTACTATCAGCCCCACCAAAACTAAGCACCTGCTTGGGTATTTTGTACCATCAGACATTCCACCCCCACAACTTCCAATTGGTGATGGGCAGTTGTGGAGAGAGTGGAGAGTTTCCACAGAGTGGAGAGTTTGACAGCAGAGGTCTCCAAATCAGTCGAGCGGCATTATCTTTTCATCGGCTTCGTAACTCTGTGTGGAAGCTTCAGGTCTTCTCAGCCACAGTCATGCCCTCCCTTCTCTATGCTTGCGGAACGTGGATCCCCCCCTAATAGAACATCTTCGCCGGTTAGAAACATTTAGGCTAGCCTGCCTACGATCCACCCTGGATTTAACCAGGCTGGATTATGTTAGGAGCTCAGAAATCCCTGAAAGATCTGGACAAAGTCCCATCGGTGAGCTCCTCCGGCAGGCAAGGCTGCGTTGGCTGGGCCATGTCGCCCACATGCCCAGCCACCGCATGCCCAAACAGCTTTTGTTCGGCCGGATTGACGGGGCTAAATGGGCGCGGCATGGGCTAGAGAAGAGATGGAGTGATGCGGTACAAGAGGATGCCGAGCTGAGTGGACTTGCCGATGACTGGTACCAGCGGTGTCAAGATCGGCTACTCTGTAGGAGGCTCGTGAAGGACGCTACTGGGCAGTTGGAGGCAGTCGCCCTTCGGCAACAACAAAGGGCAGAGGAGCAACGCTCACAACAACGAGCAGAGGGCCGGGCAGTTAAAACAGAGAAATTTGGCACAGTAGGGGGCACTGACGGTGCATCGGCCAGTCATCCCAGTCAGTCGACCCACGGCACCTGGGTCTGCCCCGTGACCTCCTGCCAGCGGGCGTTCGGCACATAGCCATTCACCACCATTTGGTGGTGAATGTCGGTTGTTGTTGTTGTAGGTGGGGAAGGAGGCTCACACTCGCGCGACATTCCCGCGGCCAGGCATCCCTGCAGTCGGCAAAACTGGCAGCGGTTGCGCGTGAGCTTGTTGATGGTGCAGCGCCGGTCCTGGGCGCACTCGTACATTGCCTTCTTCTGCACACTGCGGCGGAAGAAGCCCTGGCATCACAACCACGCGGGGGACCGCCATCAACGTCAACGTCATCGCCATCAACGTCACCACCGCCATCAACGTCACCACCGCCATCAACGTCGCCGTCATTGTCACCACCATCAACGTCACCATCAACATTGCCATCACCGTCAACGTCACCATCAACATTGCCATCGCCATCAACGTCACCATCAACATTGCCATCACCATCAACGTCACCATCAACATTGCCATCACCGTCAACATTGCCATCACCGTCAATGTCACCATCAACATTGCCATCACCATCAACGTCACCATCAACATTGCCACCGCCATCAACGTCACCATCAACATTGCCATCACCATCAACGTCACCATCAACATTGCCATCCCCATCAACGTCACCATCAACATTGCCATCGCCATCAACGTCACCATCAACATTGCCATCACCATCAACGTCACCATCAACGTCACCATCAACGTCACCATCAACATTGCCATCACCGTCAACATTGCCATCACCGTCAATGTCACCATCAACATTGCCATCACCATCAACGTCACCATCAACATTGCCACCGCCATCAACGTCACCATCAACATTGCCATCACCATCAACGTCACCATCAACATTGCCATCCCCATCAACGTCACCATCAACATTGCCATCGCCATCAACGTCACCATCAACATTGCCATCACCATCAACGTCACCATCAACGTCACCATCAACGTCACCATCAACATTGCCATCACCGTCAACATTGCCATCACCGTCAATGTCACCATCAACATTGCCATCACCATCAACGTCACCATCAACATTGCCACCGCCATCAACGTCACCATCAACATTGCCATCACCATCAACGTCACCACAAGCACCGTCGCCATCACCACCACGGGGTGGGGGGGGGGGGGACCGCCATCGCAACATTGCCAGTGTCCAATATCGTCAGCACCACCATCGGCATCAACATCATCATCGTGAGCATCACCGTGAATATCACTCCCACCACCACAACAATCATCGTCGTCGTCATCATCTCCAACATCAGCGGTACGATGAGCAGCACCATCATCATCATCACCATTACCCCCCACCGTCGCTGTGCGGTGTGTTTGGGGAGTAGCGGTGAGCACGTTTCCTTGCGAACCCGGCGACCCGAGTTCGATTCCCGCTCACGGCAAACATTAGCGTCAAACTTGTGAAACCTGTCCTGGGCCTCCCGTAGCTAGACTCGACCTTAAACGAGTACTGGGTGCGGTGTGTACAAGTGTTACTAAACTAAACTCTGTTTTTTTTATTTTACCAGGTGAAGCCCACTGAGATATGTCGCTCTTTTTCAGAAGTGACCTGGCCACACGTGATAGCTCAGCGAAGTGGCTTCTCATCATCACGTGGAAATGTGTCGCTGCAAAATGCCCCCAAACGCGTGTTTGTTAATGTGGAGGGAAAAAAACGAAGGACCCGGAGAAAAATCCACGCGACCTCGGGGAGAAAGAGAGAGGCACGCAAACTCCAAATATACAGCAGCAGCAGCAGGCGTCAGAGTCGGGATGGAACCCAGGACTTCCTGCATACCAGGCGAGGGAGTTCACATCTCCCACCGTGGCGCCCGTATTAAACAGCAGCGCTGGGGGAGACCACGGCACCTGTGCGTGGTGCCGTGCCGGCCTTCACGGGCGGGCGCTACTCGCAAAGAGCACTTGCCCCCCTCCCCCAGGACAGCCTGTCCAGAGGCTACCCGGGGGACCTTTGCCTCTTGTCACCTTGCAGCCCTCGCAGGAGACGACTCCGTAGTGGAGGCCCGAGGAGCGGTCCAGGCAGACGGCGCACGGGCGACGATGGAGTGGGGGGCCTGACGACGACAAAGACGACGACGATGACGAGGTGGTGGTGGTGGTGGAGGAAGAGGTGAAGGAGGGGGGTCCCAGCTCAGCCACCTCGTCGCTCCACATCTCCACGCCTGGTACACGCGCAGTCACGCGCTCGATCGATCGTGTGTGTGTCTGTGTCTGCACACGCGTGTCTGTGTGTGCGAACATGTGTGTGTCTCTGTGCGAACATGTGTGTCTGTGTGTGTGTGCACACGTGTGTCTGTGTGTGCGAACACGTGTGTGTCTGTGTGTGCGCACACGTGTGTCTGTGTGTGCACACGTGTGTCTGTGTGTGCGCACACGTGTGTGTGTGTGTGTCTATGTGTGCGCACACGTTTTCTGTGTGTGCGCGCATACGTGTGTGTCTGTGTGTGCGCACACGTGTGTGTGTCTGTGTGCACGCGTGTGTGTTTGTGTGTGCGCACACGTGTGTGTGTGTGTGCGCACACGTGTGTCTGTGTGTGTGCACACGTGTGTGTGTGTGTGTGCACACGTGTGTCTGTGTGTGCGCACACGTGTGTGTGTTTGTGTCTGCGTGCACACGTGTGTCTGTGTGTGCGCACACTTGTATCTGTGTGTGCGCATACGTGTGTCTGTGTGTGCGCACACGTGTGTCTGTGTGTGCGCACACGTGTGTCTGTGTGTGCACACACGTGTGTGTGTTTGTGTCTGCGTGCACACGTGTGTCTGTGTGTGCGCACACTTGTGTCTGTGTGTGCGCATACGTGTGTCTGTGTGTGCGCACACGTGTGTCTGTGTGTGTGCACACGTGTGTCTGTGTGCGCGAATGTGTGTGTTTGTGTGTGTGCGCACACGCTTGCGTGTCTGTGTGTGCACACGTGTGTGTGTGTCTGTGTGTGCGCACACACAGACAGACTGCCCTACATGACATCATAACAACAGTCTGGACGACTGGACGGGTTTTGCAGGATTGGAAGGACTACAGGGGCATCTCACTCCTCAGTGTACCGGGAAAGTTCCTGGCAAGGATTATTCAACATCGCCTTGTTAAGCACACTGAGGAGAGGCTTGCGGAGCCCCAATGCGGTTTCAGGAAAGGGCGGTCCTGCACAGATGCCATATTTTCTGTTCGTCTGCTACGGCAGAGGTGTAGAGAATTCCAACAAGACCTATATCTCTGCTTTATTGACCTGGTCAAGGCCTATGATACCATCAGTAAGCCTGGGCTCTGGGTTGTTCTTCGTGCTTTTGGAGTCCCTGACCCTCTGCTCACGATCATTAAGGACCTTCATGATGGCGAGCGGGCCCAGGTAACACTATTTGGCCGAGAGTCGGAGTCATTCCCTGTACACCTTGGGGTGCGACAGGGATGTCCTCTGGCTCCCACATTATTTAACATCTATTTCGACCACGTAGTTCGTGAAGCCTTCAATAGCTGAACCAGAGGAATTTCCATCTGGTACAGTTACAATGGGAGGCTGATCGATGCCCGGCTGCGGTCAAGGGATGGCTCTCTATTGCCCAACCACGTTATGTATGCGAATCTGGTAATTGCTGCTCACTCAGAGGAGGAGTTGGAGACGCTGCTGCTGAGACTGGAGCGTGTCACTAAGAGATGGGGCCTTACCATCAGCCCCACCCAACTAAGCACCTGCCTGAATATTTTGTACCATAGGACAGTTCACCCCTACAACTCCCAATTGGTGATGGGGCAGTTGTGGAGGGAGTGGAGAGTTTCCCATACCTGGGCAGTGTGCTTATGACCGGCTCCGGTTTGACAGCAGAGGTCTCACTCCAAATCATTCGAGCGGCAATATCTTTTCATTGGTTGCGTAACACTGTGTGGAAGCTACCTGGTCTGTCGCTCCGCACGAAGCTTCAGGTCTTCTCGGCCACAGTCATTCCCTCCCTTCTCTATGCTTTCGAAACGTGGACCCCCCTAATGGAACATCTTCGCCGGTTAGAAACATTTAGGCTGGCCTGCCCACGACTCATCCTGGGTTGAACCAGGCTGGATTGTGTGAGGAGCTCACAAATCCTTGAAAGATCTGGGCAAGGTCCCATCGGTGAGCTCCTCTGGCAGGCAAGGCTGCGTTGGCTGGGTCATGTAGCCCGCATGCCCAGCCATCGCATGCCTAAACAGCTTTTGTTTGGCTGGATCGAGGGGGCTAAACGGGCGCGGCACGGGCTAGAGAAGAGATGGAGTGATGTGGTACAGGAGGACGTGAAGCTGAGTGGACTTGCCGATGATTGGTACCAGCGGTATCAAGATCGGCCTCTGTGGAGGAGGCTCGTGAAGGACGCTGCTACTGGGCAGTTGGAGGCAGTCACCCTCCAACAATAACGGAGGGTGGAGGAGCGATGCTCACAACAACGAGTGGAGCACTTGGTAGCTAAAGCACAGCAAGTTGGCACAGTAGGGGGCACAGGTGGTGCATCAGCCAGTCATCTCAGTCGTCTTAGTCAGTCGACCCGCGGCACCTGGGTCTGCCCCGTGACCTCCTGCCAGCGGGCGTTCAACACTTCACGTGGCCTCAACGTGCACATAGCCTGGCACAACCGTCGTGGTGACGTCACGGCCACTGAGTGGCGAATAGCAGTTGTTGTTGTGCCACACGTGTGTCTGTGTGCGCACACGCTTGTACGTCTGTGTGTGCGAACGTGCGTGTGTGTGCGAACGTGTGTGTCTGTGTGTCTGTGTGTGCGCACATGTGTGTCTTTGTGTGCACACGTGTGTGTCTGCATGTATGTGTGCACACGTGTGTGTGTGTGTCGGTGTATGCGCACACGTGTGTCTGTGTACGTGTCTGTGTGTGTGCACACGTGTGTGTCTGTGTACACGTCTGTGTGCACACGCGTTTGTCTGTGTGTGCACACCTTTGTATTGGACGCACACGTGTGTCTGTGTCTGCGTACATGTCTGTGTGTGTGACGCACACGTGTGTCTGTGTCTATGTACGCACGTACACATGAGGAGTGGTAGTGATTCTCGCGAACAGCCAACAGCAGTGACGAATATCTGAACGGGTCCTTGACCTCCTCTAGGTAAACTCAGCCTCAAATGAGTACCTGGTGCAGTGTGTAAACATTGCCACTAGGGAGACAAAGGCGGTCGGGCGTGGTGCTGGCCACCCACCCCCTCGTGTATCGTTCCGGCCTTCATAGGTGCTCGCTAACAGCACTTGCCCCTACAGTCTGTTAAGGCTATATGGGGGATATTTTGTGTAACAGCACGCTGCACTACAGGCGATAATAACTAACGTTTTATTTGTCTTTGTGTGTATGTAAGTGTTCGTGTAACAGCGTGCTGCACTACAGACTATAAGAACTAAAACGTTTTATTTGTCTTTGTATGTATGTAAGTGTTCGTGTAACAGCGCGCTGCACTACAGACTATAAGAACTAAAACGTTTTATTTGTCTTTGTATGTAAGTGTTCGTGTAACAGCGCGCTGCACTACAGACTATAAGAAGTAAAACGTTTTATTTGTTTTTGTGTGTATGTAGGTGGTCGTGTAACAGCGCGCTGCACTACAGACTATAAGAACTAACGTTGTATTTGTCTTGTGTATGTGTAAGTGTTCGTGTAACAGCGCGCTGCACTACAGACGATAATAACTAACATTTTATTTGTCTTGTGTATGTGTAAGTGTTCGTGTAATAGCGCGCTGCACTACAGACTATAAGAACTAAAATTTTATTTTACCAGGGTAAGGCCCCACTGAGCTACGTAGCTCGTTTTTTTTATAAGCGACCTGGCCATCACAAAATAACGATAGCTCAACCAAGTGGGATTATCATCATCAATCATCATCATCGTCACGGGGAAATGTCGAGCAGCAGCAGCAGCAGCCAAAATCCTCTCAACGAGGTTGGAGGGAGGAGGCCCGATAGTGGAGAGCGACGTTCATGGAGCAGTCTCCACGGCCCGGTGACAGATGGGGTGAGGGCAGATCTATGGGTCTCTGTGTGAGTCTATGGGTCTCTGTGTGAATCTGTGGGTCTCTGTGTGAGTCTATGGGTGTCTCTGTGTGAGTCTATGGGTGTCTGTGTGAGTCTATGGGTCTCTGTGTGAGTCTATGGGTCTCTGTCTGAGTCTATGGGTGTCTCTGTGTGAGTCTATGGGTCTCTGTGTGAGTCTATGGGTCTCTGTGTCAGTCTATGGGTGTCTCTGTGTGAGTCTATGGGTCTCTGTGTGAGTCTATGGGTGTCTCTGTGTGAGTCTATGGGTGTCTCTGTGTGAGTCTATGGGTGTCTCTGTGTGAGTCTATGGGTCTCTGTGTGAGTCTATGGGTCTCTGTGTGAGTCTATGGGTCTCTGTGTGAGTCTGTGGGTCTCTGTGTGAGTCTATGGGTGTCTCTGTGTGAGTCTATGGGTGTCTGTGTGAGTCTATGGGTCTCTGTGTGAGTCTATGGGTCTCTGTCTGAGTCTATGGGTGTCTCTGTGTGAGTCTATGGGTCTCTGTGTGAGTCTATGGGTCTCTGTGTCAGTCTATGGGTGTCTCTGTGTGAGTCTATGGGTGTCTCTGTGTGAGTCTATGGGTCTCTGTGTGAGTCTATGGGTGTCTCTGTGTGAGTCTATGGGTCTCTGTGTGAGTCTATGGGTCTCTGTGTGAGTCTATGGGTGTCTCTGTGTGAGTCTATGGGTGTCTCTGTGTGAGTCTATGGGTGTCTCTGTGTGAGTCTATGGGTCTCTGTGTGAGTCTATGGGTGTCTCTGTGTGAGTCTATGGGTGTCTCTGTGTGAGTCTATGGGTGTCTCTGTGTGAGTCTATGGGTCTCTGTGTGAGTCTATGGGTCTCTGTGTGAGTCTATGGGTCTCTGTGTGAGTCTATGGGTGTCTCTGTGTGAGTCTATGGGTCTCTGTGTGAATCTGTGGGTCTCTGTGTGAGTCTATGGGTCTCTGTGTGAGTCTATGGGTGTCTCTGTGTGAGTCTATGGGTGTCTCTGTGTGAGTCTATGGGTCTCTGTGTGAGTCTATGGGTCTCTGTATGAGTCTATGGGTCTCTGTGTGAGTCTATGGGTGTCTCTGTGTGAGTCTATGGGTGTCTCTGTGTGAGTCTATGGGTGTCTCTGTGAATCTGTGGGTCTCTGTGTGAGTCTATGGGTGTCTCTGTGAATCTATGGGTGTCTCTGTGTGAGTCTATGGGTCTCTGTGTGAGTCCGTGGGTGTCTCTGTGTGAGT